GGCCAGAAACGATGTTGGGGTCAATCCCGAACACAGCATCCCTAACCTCCTCCCTACTTGGGAGCTCACAGAGGCCAATAAGATCGACCGAAGGAGGGATGGTGGGGAAGAAAGAAGCGGTCGTGGCAACGAGGGACCCTCTGTCAGAGGTGAAGAGGGCCTGGAAGTGAGCAACAGCCCACTCCCCGAATCTGAGACTCCTGGGTCAGGGATGACCCATCAGCCTTGATACTATGGATCTACGACTTAGCACGCTTCTGCCTAACGTAGCCCTGGAAGAACCTAGTATTCCGCTTGCCCTCGGCCACCCAGCGAACGGCCGCCTTCTGCTTCCAGAAGTCCTCTTCCATAAGGAGTCGGAGCTGGTACTCAGCGTGGCATCGGTGCATCGCAGTCCTATTCTCCGGAGTGGGATCCAGGTCATAGGCCCGCTCATCCACCGCGTGCGCACTCTGAGCCGCAGAAAGGCGCTGATGAAGGTTTCCAAAAACATCCCAGTTCCACTGTCTCAGCCGACGCCGCAGTCTGCCGAGCTTCGCCTCGAGATTGCGCATCCCGAAGAGCTCAGTCGGCTGAAGCCAGGAATCCCTGACAGTGTCGTGGAAGGAGTGGTGGCGAATCCACATGTTTTAGAACATAAAGGAAGAGCGGCGGGAAGGAAGAGGGGGGGGGGGTGTTCGAAAATCGGCACCGGATGGGAAGGGGTGAATGGTCAGATCCAAATCGAGTAAGGTGTGTGACGGTCGTAACCGCAAACACCTTCGCCCACGCCTCAGAAACCAGCACGGTCTAGCCTCTCTTTGAGTCCGTCCCATACCCACGTGAAGGGCTCATCATCACATTCAGCGTCAATTAACTCACAGTCCGCCACCACCTGGGCAAAATCCCACATCTCCCATGACCTGTTCGAACGGCTACCCACATGCTCATCGAGATGCAGAAAGGTGTTGAATCGCCACTGACCATCCATGGCAATCCCTCCATACTCCCAGCAATCTCACGCAGGGTGTCCCAAAGATCATATCGCCCGACCCTAGTACACTTGGCATAAACCAAGGTGTGAAAGATGGGCTCTGGGAGGTGGGTAGCAGAAAGCTCGACGTGCAGCACCTGATCAGTGTCACAGAGGACCCGACAAGTGTAGTCACGCGAGTGGAAGAAACAGATCTTATGCGAAACGTTACCCACGCCCGAGTGAAAGCCAATACGACGTGAATAGTAGTCAAAAGAAGGGGTGTGAATCATCGGCTCAATAAAGCCAATAAAATCAAGTCTATGATCACGAATGAGAGAATGAAGGTGAGTGAGAGTAGCCCAATTCGCCAGGCCACGACCATTCTAAGTTATGGATGTGATAGACATATCAACGGTCGCAAGAGCCACCGAACATAGTCCGCCTGTGGCGAGGGTGAGTCGGGCCACCTAAAGAAGGAAGGTGGCGAAAGGATCGAATACCAAGGGATACAATCCGTCGTGTCGTGCGCTGCATGGCTCTGGTCTTCGTGGACTACCGACCTCAGTAGGTGCTCGTGGCCTGTGTGTCGTCTGGCTGGGCAGTCTGACCTAGAGCGGCACTAGCGGGTTGCCTCTATCTCAGGGGCTATCTCCTGTCTATCATAGTGAACGAAAGCACTAGAGGCGAAACTCTCGCACGAGACGTCATGCTGGGCACGGTTAAGACCGCATGCCTGCTCGGGGATGGGGGAAAGAGAGGATCCAGCAGGCGAAGCACTCAGGTGCTCGCCGCCAGAGGGTGGATGGGGGCTGACTATATGCTCAGCCGAGCTCCCATCTCAGCAGAGAGAAGATGGGAGTGGTGACGGCAGTGGCCCTCAAATCCAGAGAGCGGTCTGGGCTAGATGCATACACAGTCAAAGGAATAGCATCGCGCGCGCTGTCATCAGATAAGTGGATGGACTCGGCCCTGGTCGAGGCGTCCTGCTGGTCCATATCGTATACAAGGAGGTCGTCGTCATCTAAAAGCGTAAGGTCCGTAATCCTAGGTGGGCCACTGGTAGAAGGCACAGCCTCATTCTCTGCCTCTGGGGAGAGAATAGCAAAGTACGAGTGGTTGGCCTTGAAGGCCGACTGTATGGTATGTCTGGGAAGAAAACCCGGGGACATGGGCTTGGGCCCTACTATGGCCAACTGCTTAGGCTGGTTAGGATGAGCATCCTTCTCAGTTTGGGCAGTGGCGTCGATCACAGCCTTACCCTTATCCTTAGACCCCTTCGGGGTCTCGGGCGCACGGAGAGGGCTTTTGCCCTTTCCCTTTGGGTCCCTCTGGGCGGTGGAGGATCCCGGCTGAGTCGCCCGGTGGCGCTGCGGAAGTGTGGGTCGTGGCTTATTGCCACTAGTGTAGCAATCAGCCGCAATATGTCCCACATGACTGCAAAAAGTGCAGAACGCGGGGATCTTCTCATAGATCACCTGCTGAGCAAAGGTCTCCGAGTCCTGCTCAATCTCAATCTCGTGGACGGGCTCGACTCTAAGGTCTATCTCGACACAAAACCGTGCCATGTTTGGCCTCAACTGGAGGGCCTTCGGGGCATCAATGCGAATCGGTTGGCCGATATACTTAGCCAACGTAGTGATGGAATCGCGGTCATAAAGGTGAGGTGGGAGCCGAGAAGGCGACACCATACGGGGACAACAGGCTTCTTCGTCTTCGGGTTAAACCCGGAAGTATATTTGAACACTCTAGCTGGCATCCACACAAATGAATCGAGGTCTTAAGCCAATCCTCGTTGTAGTCCTCGGGGAGATGAAAAGAGACTGGGAGGTGGTTAAAGTTATACCACTTAATGACACTCTACCCTTAAAACCCAGTTTACCTAATCCAGCAGATATATCTCGGGGGCCAGGGATAGCATAAGTAAACTTAAAAACCAGGGTGTTAGCTAACTTACCGGCAAGGGCGTCAGCTTCGATTTGAGTAAATCGGGCCTTCACCTTGTTTCCCTCCGAGCGGATAATGGTCCCGCAAGCATGCTCGTATCCCCCGTCAAAGGTGAAATCCTTGGGCGTCGGACGTGGGCCGCCCGTGCCGCCATCTCTCCTCCCCGTAATAGCCTCCCGGAAGGGGAGCGGGCCAGTGGAGGTGCCCGAAGGTGGCACGGCTGCAGCAGGGTTAGCCGTGGAGGTGCCCGTCGGCGGTGCCCCGTTCGTGGAAGGACCGGGAAGATGAGTCACGGCCGTTGTGTTTAGGCCCGTTACAACCACACTGTCTTCGTGCACATAAAAAGTGGTTGGGTCAGGATTTTCGGCAGTAAACGAGGTTATTCCTGCGAATTTTTCGGTTGTAGAAGACAAGTTTGGCCGGGGGCCGAGAATTCCAACCGAAAAGCTCGATTTTGGGGCCGCCCCTATTGGCTTGCTGGCCGGCTGTAACTTTTCGGCGGCCGTGACGGCACCGGCTCCGGTGAGGAGCTGCATGATGGCGCCTGCTGGATGTTGGTCGGTGGTAGCGGGAAGTGAGATTGAGGGGGATAGAGGCTGTTGGCAGATAAAAGGCTGGGGGATTGGTTGTGCGGTAGCGAGTTTGGGGGATGCGGGCCGCGAGTTGTGAAGTGTTGTGATGGGCTGGGGAGGCTTTGATGGTGCGGTGAGCTCGGAATGCTTGGGGTTGGCCTGCGAGGAGGTGGGCTGGTCAAGAGGGAGGCCCAAAAATGGGCTAAGCTTAACGGGTTGTGGTGTGAGGGCCTGATTGATGTGGTGGCAGGCTGATGGAAGGAACGAGTTAGGTCAGTATGTGGTTGAGGGATGGGCTTAGGCGTTGGGTTGCTAGATTGGCCCAATAAAAGGCCATTTTCCTGAGATTTAGCCTCATTTCCAATCTGCCTTTTGAACTCTAGCGTTTGGGCAGCCTTTGATGGTTGTGAAGAGGAGATAGGATGTTGACTATTCAATATTGAAGGGCCGGCGGCAGAGGGCATCTTCTCCGGTGAGATCGATTCCAGCGATGTGGGATACGACCCGAAGACGAGTGGCGGATCCGATTGCCCGATTTTTGGGCCGCTGTTTTCATTTTTCTGACCAAACGAGTCCTGCGCTCGTCCCGTGCCAACCTGTGACGTGACGACCGGTACTGTGGCTTTTTCTATTTCCGCCGAGAGCATCACAGATGGGGAGCCGGTGGGCTGAGGCATATTCTTTAATTTTTTTTCGATTTTTTCTTGCTCTTTTTGCCGTGAGTCGAGAGTTAGGTGATGACCGGAATCCGGTTGTAGCATGGTGGTTTCTGGCTTCGATTGGTTACTGGAATCTGGCTGCAACACGGTGGTCGTCGTCTTCGTCTTAAACTCCGGCAAAAAGGTCCCGGCCCGATTTTTCTCGAGGATTTCGACTATTTCACCTTCTTCCTTATTCATGTTTTCTCCTTTTTTTGTGATATTGGTTTTGGTTTTTGCGAGAAAAGCCGAGAGGGCCTCTCGGAATTCCGGCTGTGATATGAAGAGCTCCACCTCCGAAGGTTGACTAGAGAGTGGACCTTGTTTGTTTGCCGGCAAATTAACCGGGGCCATGACTGGCCTAAATCTGAGATTTAGAGGACTGAAAAAATTAATTTAAGGTTAAAGGGTAGGTTAAAAAACTGAAAGTGAATATTAGAGGAAATATTATGTAGGGAGACCGGTGGCCAACCGCGCCGGCGCGGGCTTGCCGGGATACTGAAACGGTGGACAGACGCAAGGTTTTTTGGTGAAAGGGTTGGATTTGGGAAAGGAAAATTTTCTATGTACTTGCTAGGTTAGTTGTCTGTAGTTGCTAGGTTAGTAGTTGTTAGGTTAGTTCTCTGTAGCTGCTAGGTTAGTAGTCTGTAGTTGCTAGGTTAGTTCTCTGTTGTTGCTAGGTTAGTTCTTTGTAGTTGTTAAGTTAGTACTCTGTAGTTGCTAAGTGTTGTCCGCATTTTAAGAGATGTCCTCATTATNTGCGACCTTATATATATATATATATAATGGTATGTCATGCTCTTTCATTCAGCCACCTTATTCTTCATAAAAATGACCCCGATCAACATCACCATTTTATCGCCCCTCTGCCCATCGTCGGCGTCTGTATCTCCACCGCCGCATCTCCCACCGTCCTGCACGTGTTTCCAGCCACAACAATGGAGGCAAAAACAGAACCGTTGTGGGGCCCTTGTCTTCCAATCGTTGGGACTCGATCGTTTGTTTTTGGGATCAAATTTGTTCGTTGCTGGCTACCGCTTTCCACAACAACGTAGCATCGACCTAGCCACCATTCGCCTCAGTCGTTGAGCCTCAAGCATCGCCCCGCTATATCCAAAACTTGTTCGTCATTAGCCATTCGTTGCTCACGAGCCGAGCCTGTCATTAGCCGCATCGAAACAGTCTTTCTCGTTAGCCGACGGATGAAGGCGGCGAATGTATGTAGAGGATGAGGAAAACAATGTTTGTCATTTTACCGGTTGCGGACTAAACATATTAATTTTGACACGGGTATACGGTCATTGTTTAAAAAAAATTAGGAGAAAAGGACATACATACACATATAGTTGTAGGTATATATGCTATATATTTTTCGTATATATATTGTTTATAGAGTATGTTTGTGTTGGTTTTTGGTATATATATACTATATATTTTTTTATATATACTGTGTATTTTTCGTATATATATTGTTCATTGATTGTGTTGGTTTTTAAAAACTTTATAGAGTATGTTTATTGTACGTATTATGTATATATGTAGTATACTTATCCGGAACTAATACTTCTTTTGTTGTCCTCGTTCTCGGAAGTATGGCCTCAGCTGCAAGATTGCCGCCTCCTTGGGTCGCCAGAGCCTGCAAGTCTCGTTGTCAGTTGCTGCTTGGTCATGTGGTGCTCGTCTCGCCGTGAAGGGCCTACTCTCGTCAGCCGCATTTGGTGGCCTGCCTCGCCGTGAATGGTCAGCCCTCATCGCCAGAAATTGTTGCTATTTGGGCGAGAGAGAAGAAGGGCTGGTGGCTGGAAGCTAATGGCGGCGATTGGATCTGGAGTTGGATCTAGGAGTTTTTTGGAGATATGTCATATCTTTTATTTTTTTAAAATAAGAATGTAACAGTTACCAATTTTTATGCATTGATTGGAGAGAGAGACATTAGAGATAATTATGTAGCATGTTTGGAGATAAAAAAATTACTTGCAATAGAGTTGAAATGGATTAAATCATCTAACATAATTGGTAGATAGAAAATATATTGTGTGCATATGTGTACTTTAACCATCCCTTTTAGCCTTTAATGTTTTCTAATTTTCTACAATTTTTATTTGTTTCTTTATATTTCATATTAGTTTGAGGCCTTTATATGAGCATCTCATATTTTTTAGGGTGATTAAGACTTCATAATCTATTTCACCATACCTTCGTATCCTATCCAACCGTGGTCCCATGTTATAAATTTGATACTGGAATATGAAAAATGGCAACAAATATGAGCCCCAATTTCCCGTAATCAACTTTCAAATTTAGTTCTCAGCATCATTTCAATCAGTTTCCGTTGCAAACAATATGAAAAAAAATTAAAAAAAAAAGCGCATATTAAATAGACAAGTGAACAAAAAAGATGCAGCCCACATTAAGAGAAGTGCAAATCATTAGATCAATAATAAACAAGTGAACAAAAAAGATGCAACCCACATTAAGGGAAGTGCAGATCATTAGATCAATAAAGACAAGTGAATAATGTTCGTGAAGGAAGCTGCAATAAACGAACTTCAAGTCAACACCCGGGATGTTCGACTCCCCAAAGTTTCCCTGATTTACGTTTTGACCCCTATTTGCCGTTAGCTGCCCCATCCCCCAAAGTTACCATAATTCACGTTCTCACCCATATTTGCAGTGGGCTGTCCGCAAGGCGATAACTGATTAGATTGCAAATTGTCTCCTTCCATTGACTCTTGTCCAGACATTGTCTCATGACCCCTATCGTGTGTCCCGGGAGTGGCTGCCTGCTCGTAAATCTATATTGCGGCCTGTGAATGACTTTACCATCGACAAAGATATCTCCTGCAAACACATATCACAAAATATATTTTTATGCTGGGGACAGATGTTGTATCAGTCACATTCAAGTATGAGCGGCTGGGTCCAACAAAAATGTATTTTGTGATATGTGTTTGTAGGCGATCGCTTTGTCAATGATAAAGTCATTCCTAGGCCGCAATATAGATTTACGAGCAAGCAGCCACTCCCGGGACACGATAAGGGTCACGAGCCAATGCCTGGACAAGAGCCAATGCAGTGAGACAATTTGCAATCTAATCAGCAATCGTTTAGCGGGCAGCCAACTGCAAATATGGGTGAAAACACGAATTATGGTAACTTTGGGGGATGGGGCAACCAACGGCAAATAGGGGTCAAAGCGTAAATCAGGGAAACTTTGGGGAGTCGATCAGCAATCTACATATCACAAAGTGATATATTTTTATGCTGGGGACAGAGGTTGTGCCCATGGCCATTGTGGTGCCCTGAGCTGGCAGTAGCACCATGTGAACCCTCATTGATGCCTGTATCAACTGCCCCCTCAGTGTTGGAGTGGGATCCCTAATTTGCCCTGATAAGGAGCTCCCATTATGCCAACCTTGTTCTCGTAAGCCTTCTGAAGCTCGCATCCACTCACCATATTGCCCTTCCCTGAGTGAATGGTTCCCCACATCTTCCACCCTTGCCCACAGCCCTTTTCAATATGCCCTACTCTCCCACAATAAAAGCATAAATTTACCAGCCGCTCATACTTGAAAGTGACTGATACAACCTCTGTCCCTAGCCTAATGGATGCACACCTAGGATAAAACCTATGTCCCCAGCTGCTCATACTTGAATTGAATGTGACTGATACAACCTCAGTCACCATTATCACATAAATGTTATTTTCGTCCACATGTTAAAATCTACACAAACAAAATTCAAAAAATTATAAATATTGTTTTATCACATAAAATATTCAATGATACAATTAGGTATGATTTTTAATTAGCGCTTTTTTTATGATTTGATTTTATCAAAACACACATTCTTATAAAATCACCTACAAATTGTATGTTTATTAACATATAAGGCCGATAATGTGTCGAGACAATTTCCATTAGGAACTTCACTCACACTGATTATTGAGCTATTTGCATATCTTACAAAATAAAATTCTCTTTACATTCTTTATTTTCTTTGTGTTGTTTGGATTTAGATTGGAATCTTTATGGACTAATAAAAAAAATTTAGTTTTAACCTTCTACAGCCAATGCCGCCACAAGTATACAACGAATATGACGGTCTACACTAGAGACATCAAATGTGCACATGTGGAGCGTGCATGTTAGTTGGCATTTTTTTTTCATTATAAAATGTCTCTATAATTTCATAATAATAATAATATAGTTACTTTGATTCTCATCATGTGGTGTAGTTATTTTGATTTTCATCATGTGTTATAGTTATTTTGATCCTCTTGATAATGAGAGTAAAACATACATGGTTTGATAATGTGATAATGGAGAAGGAAATGGAGAAGGATGTGGATGATAGTAGTTTTCTGATACAAAAGGTAGAAATTTGAATGGTGTAGGTTGATAAGAGTAAAACATATGCATATTTTGTTTTGGCTTGGTTTGCAGTGAAGAGGAAGCAAAGCAAAAGATATATTCTATTTGTACAACATACACTGCATTTGGAGCCTTAATCTCTGAGGAGCTGTCATACAAATTAATAGGTAATGGATGTTTTTTGTTTATTTTGACACTCACTGTTCTTCCCATTGAAAGTTTGTGTTGGCATAAGATTATGAAAGTTTTATGATTACTTAACCATAGTTTATTTTGTAATCGTCTATACAAATCAACCATATTATTTATCAGAAAAACTTACAAAAAAAAGTAAAAAAACCTACAAAAGAAACTATAGTTAAATAAACTATTTATTTATTTTCTTTTGTAGGTTTTTTTACTTTTTTTTGCAAGTTTTTCTGATATCGTAAATGTTATGGTTGATTTGTATAGACGATTACAAAATAAACTATAGTTAAATAATTATAAAACTTTCATAATCTTATGTCAATACAAACTTTCAATGGGAAGAATAGTGAAAGTGTAAACAAAAAAAAAAACATCCATTACCTATTAACAGCTCTTCAGAGATTAAGACTCCAAATGCAATGTATATTGTACAAACATAATATATTTTTTGCTTTGCTTCCTCTCACTGCAAAGCCAAAACACAATATGCATATGTTTCTCTTATCAACCTACACCATTCAAATTCCTACCTTTTGTATCAGAAAACTACTATCATCCATATCCTTCTCCATTATCAAACCATGTATGTTTTACTCTCATAATCAAGAGAATCAAAATTACTACAGCACATGATGAGAATCAAAATAACTACATGATGAGAATCAAAATAACTATATTATTATTATTATTATGAAATTATAGATAGGCATCTTATAATGAAAAAAAAAATGTCAACTAAATGCAAACCTAACATGCACGCTCCACATGTGCACATTTGATGTCTCTAGTGTAGACCGTCATATTCGTTGTATAGGCAATGGTTGTACAAGGTTAAAACCAAATTTTTTTTATTAGTCCATACAGATTCTAATCTAAATCCAAACAACACAAAGAAAACAAAGAATGTAAAGAGAATTCTATTTTGTAAGATATGCAAATAGCTCAATAATCAGTGTGAGTGAAGTTCCTAATGAAACGTGATCCTGTGAACGTGAACATAGTGAACGTCTCCAAACTAATTTGATCCAATTTGATTCACTCGGAACAACTCTCGAGATTTGACTCCTCGAAATCTACGATTTAAATATTTTTATCTTATTATTACGGGTAGTGAAGACAGGCAAGGAAAAAAAATTAAACACATAAAGCAAATAAGACAAACAAGGCAATTAAAACAATTAAAAGTAAATAAAACACATAAATTAGTATATAGACAACGCATAATTCATCACAAAGCAACACAAGGTCCATACAAAACAAGGCAGAAAGGATCACATATATGTTCTTCTTGTTCTAAACATAAGCGTTCTTTTCCACTTTTAAACTGAAACTTAAACTATTGAAATTTAACATGCCGGCAGCAAAGTTAACACCACTCAAAAGCATGCTCAAAGATGATGCTAAATAACAAAGCATAACATGCTCTTTCTCATTTCACAGCATATGTATAAAGAAAAAATAATTAAATAAATAAAAAATAAAATAAATAAGTAAATAAATAAAGGCTTTAACATCAAAATGAAGGCTCTGACCAACTGAGGTACATTGCTCTTAAATAAAATCCCTTCTAAGATATAATAAAAAAAAAATCAACAACTCAGGATATACAACATAACAGCAAGGTGCAAACATCCATGCATTTGAACAGCCTGAACAAGCCTTAATCCTCTTTATTTCCTACAAACTTAAACCAAATGCTAGGCCGAATGTAATGAGATATTAAGCTCTAAATACTCTTGAATTTCAGCATGACATTTTCACATAATGCTCAACATAAAGGAAATCAAATAAAGCATGCAAACACATGATATAACCTTCTCTTTTCATCATTATTTTCTCAACGTCTAAGCACCACTCCAAGGGTCTTAGAACTGAAATTCAAGGACTCTGAAATGCACATAATCACAGCCTTTAACACATATAATAACCTCAACAACAATACATCACAGTGAGATTAAAACACCTCATAGCATGTCAACATACATTTATCTTCACTGAACCTTTTAAACACAATAGTTCAGCCATTACAGCAAGTAATAACACAATTTCGTAACAGTCAAGGCAATGGATTCAGAAATTCAACAATTAATCACACAAACAATTTAACCTCTACTCATAAAGATCCAAACTTCACATATCCAGGATTTAAACTCACGAATTAACAAGAGGATTACGAAGTTCACCTCTAGTTGGGAAATCCTCGGCCACTCGCGTACAGACCACAGACGGGTTCGTCGGTGCTAGGGCT